CCACAACACACACACACACACACACACACACACACACACACACACACACACACACACACACACACACATATAAACTTGTATATATATTTAAAAATTTTTTTACATTTATCTCTCTAAAAAAATTAATACGAGATATTTTATATCAAAATTCTGGGTTAAAATGTAAAACATCTTGTATTATATATACAATTATTAATTTTTTAAAATCTTTATCTTAATATACTTTTATAGGCTGCAGAATAATTAGATGAATCATGTTATGTAAAATAACACGATTCAGTAAAAAAAAAAAAATTGCTATGGTTTTCATATGATATAAAAAAATCGATTTCTTTTAAATTGATTTTCCATCATTTATGCTTCGTCTATGTAACTTTTGTCTGAATATATGTACTATTTTCGATCTTGCAAAGATAAAAAGCATTCGCAGTGGATGAGACATATACATATATACACTCTAAAAAATATTGATACAGCGGTCCATATTTTTTACCGGTGACTATACATATTTTTTCTCAATATTTTATTGGTGCTATTATTGCGAACAAATTAATCAATCAAAGTCAACAATTCCTTGAGATTTATTAAAACTTCCGTTTGATGGAATACTCGAAATTGATATATTTTGCTCGTAAGATTCGTAGCTATCATTTTCGATGATTTTAAAAATATTACGAGAAAAACCGTAGTGATAATAATATATGGTCAGATTGTCACACAATGTCGAAAAGTTATTAATTAATTAGATTTTCATGAATTAATTAAAAAATTTAAAGAAACTATTTTGAGAGATTGACAGAATATTGCGAAATTAGGTTACAATAATATGCATAAGTGGTTCGATAATATTGAGTTACGATATATCATAACGTGATTCATGCAGCTATTTTACAATGTAGAGATTGGCATTTGACGGTGTTTCGCGAATAGGAATATAATCTTGCCCGCAGCTAGCCAGGATTCATACTGACGCACTCATGCATAAGCCATTTACTGGTTTACAGAAATGTCGAGAGCGCTGCGCGACTCGCTCTCGAATTTATACATTATTCGACGGCGATTATATAGGATGGCGGATGCCGCGTTTCGCAGAGGCCGCTCTTGACGTGGGTCGTTTCAATTATTCGTATACCTCCGCGATGCAATCCACCGATAGGAAATTTTCGAGCTTCCGTAGTAGTTAACCATGCACTCGTTTGCAGCCGCCTTATGGGAAAGCTCTATATATGTTATGTAGATGTGGTCATATCTGTCTTAATGTAAAGTTTTAATGTGACCAGGCAAACACAGTTAAAGAGAATGATTAATTTAAAGGGATTAGCTAAATTTTTTAATATTTAATTATATGTATAATTATATATTACAATTATCATATGTATATATTGGTAATGTGTAGATTCTATAAAAGACATAAATCTTGTGTTTCTTATTTTTTATTAATAATAAAGAAATATTAAAGTATTTCTTTATGAATAATACTTTATGAATAAGTACATCACAATAGACTAATATATAGTATTATACTTTTGAGACTTCCGCAGGTATTTTCTTTAATGAAGCTACTCGGTCTGCTGGTTATTATCTCCGTTTCGATACACCATTAAATGCCAACATTTCGTGAACATTGTAGTTTACTTGCAGTTTACTTTATCAGGACAAGTATCAGTATCAAGTTGCTTCTCACTTTGATGAAGTAAGCTGCAATATTCGCGAAACGTTGGTATTTAATGATATATTGAAACATGGTGTATCGGGGTAACTCGCAACCATGTAGCTACTTTGATATCAATACTTTGATATCAATACATTACTAATTAATATTAACTGCTTCAGTCTGACATTATAGATTTCTCAATTCCATTTTTATCACTTTTACTTTATTATTAAAAAATTGATGTAAAATGGAAGTATTTTCGAAGAACTTTTCAAAAATTTCACTTTAAGCATATATCTTTCTAATATGAAATGTTTTTTTTTTTTTTTAAGGAGCTCCATTCCAATGTGCAGCACTAGCCACTGATGATTTTGACGTATACGTGAAGTTTAACGATGTAGCACGGTTACTCACGGAACGACCTGTTGATGAAGTATGGGTTGGTTCTTCCTTGCCACTATCTTGTTGCTTTCTTTATGCGGTAAGTATTGAAGTGATTCAAATTCTTTAGGTATAAGAATATATTACCAGGATATTATTTTTATGTTATAGTATTAAAAGTGATTCAAATTCTTTAGATTTAAGAATATTACTTCTGTGATCGCTTTCACAGATATCTGTAAACGTGTTAATGAAACAAATATATATCATTATAAAAATTTTTTTGTATTTATAATTTCTGAGAAAAAGAATTGTTCATAAATTCTATTAAAATCTATATAAATTTGAAAATTATTTCATATTTATATATTTAAAAATAATACAATAGATATATCAATTTTGTTACTTTTTTATAATTTCGCATTTGATAATTAATTCATAACGTATGTTAATTATATAATATATATGTGTGTGTGTGTGTGTATATGTATATATATACATATATATTATAAAATTGGTATTTTGTATTTTGCATAATTTGTGAGAAGAAAAGTTGTTTATAAATTTTATTAAAATTTAAATTTTAAAGTTATTTTATATTCATGAAAATAATGTTGATGGTGTTATTTCTTGTAATTTTGTATTTGATAATTAATTGATCCAGCGAACTGTAATTTATAACACACATAATTTCTAAAATCATAATTAAAGTTTAATTTGTTTATAAAATAATTATTTGTGAAATTATGCAATCAAAAATTCAAGCGCCATCCAGAACAGAACAGGCATGGGTTTTGTATGGAAAAAGCAATTTTTGTGACGATTGGTTAAAACAAAATTGGTCACTCTGTGGATTTAATAACTCGCCCAATTTCAATACAGACTGCTGCAGGTTGATCCTAAATTAGACTTCGTTTAAATTTATCGATTTTCTATTCATGGTTAGATTTCTGGTGTTACTCCTCGCACCGTGACGATCCAAATTTTAATCTACATATGCAGATTATACTCGATACTACTGATGTAGAATACTAAAAAAATTTTCTTTATATAATTTGCATTTTTTATGCCGCTA